GTGAGGCAGTCGAATTATCTAACACAATACTAAGAGGGCAAAAGCTCACCATGCCAAGGGTTATAACCAAGTTCAAATTTGTTACTGTAACACACCAATACCATTCTCCCAAGCATGATATATACTAACAAAAAGCTTCCGTTAAATCCCGATCTCACTCATTCGGTTTCCTGAAGGGTTCTTCTCTTTTCCCAGGAATACTAAAGAACCAAATAATGAGTTTCTTACTGACCATTGCAGAAAGCGGTCCTCTTAGAAATCGCTTTTATCGGCTTTCTTTTCCCCAGAGATAATAATAGCTACCACAGCTTGTCAGAGACATAATGTCGTTTAATCAAGAAGCAGCTCACATCTTCGAAATCTCTCAGAATTCCCTCTCCTAAGCCGCATGATACCTCTCCTTCTATAGAGTATTTGTCGGAATCATACGAGAGTGCGTCATTGTCGGAAACAACAAATACCCGGTCTGCACTTGTTTCCGACAAGAGATCCTCGGAATCATAATCGGAGAAGGCGAGATCTACGGCGTCAGATTCATTAGATCTGAAGGTAGTGCCACTATAGGAAGAATCTGTGTCATCGTTAAGTTGTTGGTGCCGATTAGACATTTTGACCGCAATTGTCGACTAAATTATATCGAGTGTAGACCAAAGAAGGCGGCCCTTAGAGCCGCTTCTTTGAACTATATAGTGCTCTGAAGTCGTTTTGAAAGCTCTCCTGAATGAGAACGAATGCACTATACTTTTCATTCAATTAATTTGTGACTCATAAGCTCAGCCTTCGGTAATTGCATGTCTGCTTATTTGAAGATCTTACCGTAACCGCAGAATTTCGCATGTACTCAGTTAGAATCATATGGCCATTGCTTTCATTTCCTCAATTCTGGAAGAGCCATTAGATAGTAACCCCCATCCCGGTGACATGAAATGCCCTGTGTGATGAAACGCCCATCAGGTACCTACACATTCGAGCCATATCACTCCCAATCGACATCTTGATTTTTGCCCGGAAGCTGCTAAAACAACAATCATCGTATGCTTTTTTGATAGCAAATTTCAAACGCGGATTATCAAATGCTAGGCGGGGCGAATTACAGCCCGACACGCACTGCTAGAAAATCTGCTCTTTACTACTATCACGCCAAGATCATCAACCAAAACACCTGGGTTGGGTAGCAAAGAAACGGTTGCATTTATTCGTCTACATTCTCCCCAAATCCGATTTCTTAACTTATCATGGTCATATTGCCTTGAAGGACACCGATTTTGGTGGAAGTCTTCGTAACAAAAAGATACAAGAATAAACGTAGTGAAGAGGCCAATACGCCCGTAAAAAACGACCATGTAACATGCTGTATGAAAAGATACTAGCGCCCGCTAAGCGCAAGAGCCCCACCTAAACGTGCCAGCAGGTGGGAGATAGCCTGCTACAAGAAAACGTAAGTCTGGTGGAAATAAGTCTAGGACCGCATCGAACTGTGAGGATAAAAAGCAAAGAACGAAGTTTAACAGGTATAGGCTCAGATCTCTACAGACGCTGTTTTACAATACGTAGTATAGATACAGGTCTAGAATTGAAAATTATCTCTATATTTTCTGCAACTATTGCTACTATGGCTTCGTAAACTTAACCGTATACTAAATGGAATTTACTCGCAAATAATTTATCTATAGAGAAGAAACGCTTCACCGCTATCCAGCACCCTTTGTCCATTTAGGAGGCGGCTTATTATCATGACCGTAATTGGATCGGCTTGGCACTAATAAGTACAAGTCATGCCCTGACATCACGTGCTAGAACTCAGCCTAGATTTGGTTGAGCTTGGAGCTAGCCATTTTGGAGTTAGCTTTCAAGAGAGGAAGGTTCACGTGAGCCTGCCTCAGGGTGGTCCGAAAAAAAAGTTTCAGGTCTTCATTTTCCTGTTCCTCGGGGGACACCCGTGGACCCCGAACTCCACGTGACGGATGACTCAGGGCAGCAGCAGGATGTGGGGTTTAACCAAATTCACCAAAACCACCGTTTAACTCAGATCCGGTTACACAGTGTTGGTGAAAACTGCTAAATGGTGAAACCTGACTAAATAAATGCAACTGAATGGCTAAACCTTGACCATCAAGCATCACATTTTTTCCATAACCACCTTTTCAACGTTTATTCCTGTTTATTTTTGCTCAACTGACAATATTTACTATTCCGCTTATTTTCAACAGTTAGAAGGGTGCGCTATCTAAGATTGAGTTTGAAAACTTTAGCTTATGTCCATGCTGTAATGTGAAGGCTGTTTATTGAATTCACGTTTGTTCTTGTTTCAGCACTACAGTTCGCGCCACCAGCTATGCTCAAATAACAATGTCTAAATCCTTGCATATTTTCAAGAGTCACGCTATAACGTATTCCACCACCTTCCCGCCCACACCACCTTCCCGCCCACCCAACCAAATTTCGCGTCTCCGCGTATCCCCAACCACTTTGATCACCTATAATGCCACCAATTCGTTCTAAAACCAAGCAAGAATCTCTCCACCAAGAGGGTAGGATCGAGCTTGCAATACAAGCTATTCAGAAAAAATCAATTCCGTCTATTAGGGCTGCTGCGCAGACATATGACGTACCGCGTTCCACGCTACGCGACCGCCTCGCAGGCCACTCATTTCGGTCAACCAGACGCGCAACATCCTATAAAATGACCCAAACAGAAGAGGATACGCTTACCCAGTGGATCCTCTCTATGGATGCTCGCGGCGCAGCCCCTAGGCACTCTACGGTGGAAGATATAGCCAACTTATTGCTTGTAGCCCGCGGTGTTGATGCAATTGGCCTAAATTGGGTTACTCGATATATTAGCCGGACACCGGCCATTCAATCACGCTTCTCGCGTCGGTATGACTATCGACGTGCGGAACAAGAAGATCCCCGGATTATACGTGCATAGTTTCGCCTATTGTAAGAGACTATTTCGCGCTATAGTATCCAACCTAATGATATCTATAACTTTGACGAAACAGGCTTCGTAATAGGCCTTGTTTCTACCGCAAAGGTAGTCACCAGAGCTGAATACTATGGCCGTAGATTTGTTCTGCAGCCAGGTAATCGCGAATGGGTGACTATAATCGAAACAGTTAATGCTACGGGCTGGTCTTTACCGCCGATAATTATATTTAAAGGCAAACATTTTATCGAATCCTGGTTCTGTGCCGATATCCCTGGTGACTAGCGTATCGAGGTTAGCGACAATGGGTGGACTACTGATGCAATTGGTCTTCGATAGCTTGAAAAGCTATTTATTCCTTTAATAAATGGCCGGCGATATAGGCGATATAGGCTATTAATCCTCGACGGTCATGGCAGCCACCTTACGCCCGAATTTGATCAACTATGCACGAAGAACGATATCATACCTCTTTGTATGCCTACCCATAGCTCGCATCTATTATAGCCACTAGATATTGGCTGTTTCGCTATTCTAAAGCGATTATACAGTCGCTTAGTCGACCAGCAAATGTGTCTAGGAATCAACCTTATTAATAAGCTTGATTTTCTTACGGCATACCCACGCGCGCGCCAGGATACCTTCCAGGTTAATACTATTGTGAATGCCTTCAAAGCGACTAGTATTGTGCCGTTAGATCTAGAACCAGTGCTATCGAAGCTTAATGTTCTAATTCGGTCACCTACACTAAATGCGGAACGACCTACTAGCAAATCAAGCAATTATTGCCCTGAGACACCAAGGAATATTACCCAGCTATCGAAGCATGCTAAATCGGCTAAGAAGCTATTAAAATATCGGTCGGAAAGCCCACTAACACCTACCAAAGACATTATCAATCAAGCATATAAAGCATGCGAAACGGTAATGCAAAGTATGCTTCTATTAGAGAAGGAAGTCAGAGATCTACGCGCTGCGAACAAGAAGTAAATACAGAAAAGATCTCTATCCAAACGGCAGATAGAACGCGCTAAAGGTATGGCTATATCTGAAGCCCATGAGCAAGGCATTGGTCTATTAAGCAATATAGAAGATGACGGGGTGGTCTCTACAATGCCCACCCGGAAGGCTTTAACCACCAATAGTCAGACTAACAGACGTCAATATGCATGCAGCGTATGCAGAAGGCCTGGCCATAGGGCTAATTTCTGTACAGAGAAGGTTTAAATTGAATATAAAGGCGTTGTGGTTATTTAATTGCTTCATAAATATAGAAGTAGGTGGGTGGTGTGGGCGGGAAGGTGGTGGAATACGTTAGAGGATTCTGGCAAATCGTGATATCGGATCACCATTATTAGCAGACTTTGCGGCAATGAACTGTGATTGTTAAACACGCGACGATACACTTAGTCTGACAGATACATCAACAGTGATCCAGAAAGCACTAGTCAGGTAAGTTCACCGTCTTCGAATATCGTATAAGGGTGGCGACGTTTCAAACGAAGATCCTGTAGCTTTCGGCCTTCTCGAAATGTTCATGGAATTCACCGAGTTCGACCGGTGAAAAATGCTTCAAAATTTGATCTTGTTTGAGCTATGAGGTGAAAATAATTTCAGTACCAACCTAAGATACAGTAATATGTCCCGGAATCCCCCTATTGATATTCGTATAAAGTTGCGGTATCTAGTCTAATACCTTCTCACGGTCTCACGGTCCCCATGATTCGATTCCAAGCAATAGATACCTTGCAGCAAGCATAATACGCTCAAAAATGCCCCCGATGTCCCCGCCCATCAACGCCAGAGGCGGACATCGTACGCAACCCGGTCGAGATCGACCGGGATCCCCGCGTCAACCTTGTGGCGCCGGGCTAATAACAAGCCTTCTATTGCCGATAAAGCCACCAATCAGCAGTACCTCACTCCACAAGAGGAGCAAGCGCTGGTAGAATATGTATTGCGGCTAGCGAACAACGGCTATCCGCTCCCAGTCAAGTTTCTCCGATCGCTCGCTTTGATCATCGCGCGCCAACGATCCTCGATTTTCCAGATCATAGATCCAAGCCTCAAAATGCGACCTCCGGGGAAGAATTGGCCGCAGGGTTTTTACTTACGCCACCCGCAGTTGAAAGCGCGACGGCTACGAGCGATCGATCGGAAGCGAGATGATCGGCAGATCGAAGAGAAAGTCCGATTCTGGTTTGCCGTCATTGGCCGTGAACTAGCTGATTCAGCCATTCTCCCGGAAAATGTATATAACATGGACGAGACGGGAGTTCTTCTTAGCGTTCTCAACTCCCTTAAGGTGCTCGTCGGCAAAGATGATTTGAGAAAGCATCGAGGAACCACGGTGAAGCGGAAGCTAGTCACAGCGGTTGAATGCATTTCCGCCGATGGTCGCTCCCTTCATCCTCTCATTATCTGGCCGGCCGCCACCCATCGTGGTTCGTGGACCACTCATGCTACACCCGGATGGCATTTTGCCTGCTCCAAAACAGGCTATACGAATACAGAAATCAGTCTGTACTGGATCGAACATGTGTTCGATCCTCAGACTCGAGAGCGAGCCGGCGATCGCCCACGGCTCTTAATCTGCGATGGTTTCGGCACCCACGAGTCTCTGGAGGTTATGAAATTCTGCTTTGCCAACCGCATTATCTTGTGTCGTCTCCCTTCTCATACGTCTCATAAACTGCAGCCGTGTGATGTGGGTGTTTTTGGTCCCCTAAAAACAGCATACCGGGCACAAATTGAGCAGACCTGCCGCGCTGGAGTGGGTACCATTGGTAAGCCACACTTCACCTATCTTTATAATCGCGCCCGAAAGGAGGCACTTACACCCCGTAATATACGATCTGCCTGGTCGAAAAGCGGCCTCTTTCCATTCGATCCGTCTCGCGTCCTCCGAGAGTTTGAAGCATCCCAGTCCGAGAAACAGATCGTGGTCCCTGTGGACCATGCGACCGTGTCCTCTAATGTCCGTTGCACTCCAAACACTTCTGATCATTTCGCATTGCTAAGGAGAGAGGTCGAGCAAGATACCCAGAGTATAGATAGTGTGTCAAAACATCGTCTTCAGACACTGAGCTGCGCGGCCGAAAAGGTCTTTGCAGAACGCGCCTTGTTGCTTGAGGAGAACCGGATCCTATTTGAGCAGAACAATGAGAAGACCTGTCGACAATCCAGTGGCCTGACGGTTGTAGGACATGCAAAAGTGATGAGCTACGAGGATATCGTTGAGGCGCAGAAGAAACGCGATATGACGGAACAAGCCACGCGGGCAAAGAGGTCGAAAGCTGGGGGCAAGCTGCTTTCAAAATCGGAGGAGAAGCGCAAGGCGGAGCAGGAGATTCAAGCATGGAATGTGAGTGATTATTGCTTAGTTTTAGATTTGTAGACTCGTTCAGCACGTTAGAAGTTCCTGTGTTTCTATCAATTCATCGCCCAGGAGTTGCTTGACGTTTCAGCAGGCCAGCTGTTAGATATTATATATTTCCTCTATTCGCATATCATTATCAGCTATTGATACTTCAAATTGAAATTACGTCTGCTACATACACTTAGTTAAGTCACCACTAAAGGCAGATATTGTAAGTTTTCATCCAGAATTCTCGTTGGCTAGGCTGTTTGCGCATGTGCCTTGTAGGGTCTGGTTAGGCGGCAGTGTTGTGTTCCCGCGAGGCTGAGCTCCGCAGGCTCTCACAAGGTTGAACGTACAGTAAACCCCGCTTTTTAGCGACAAGTTTGTTAAGGGGAAACAATTTTCGTTATTGATTTCTCAGCATTCAGCATCATCTTAAGCTTTCGCGTATTCTAAATCTGGCACTTCAGAAAATGTCAACTCAAACAGAAACCTCTTCAGTGCCATGCCCCTTCCACAAAGACGATCAGCTCAATGATGATTTGGATACATCGCTTAATTACCTGCCAGGCCATCCCCGGATCAAGGTTGGGGATGAGACGGGGTTGTTTGATTTCATTCGCCGCGAAGTCTGGTCAGAGGACCTCGAGTCGATATCGGGCAGACTCTGGTGGATGTCGAAGCAGGATAGCAGCAATATCTCTCCGTTGCATCGACAGCGAGTGAAGGGCCGACAGATCATCGTGACTGAGGATGCTCGGCTGCATCTCGTCTGGATCGACGACCGAATCTACCTTAAACCCCTTCCGCAGTACATCATATCCTACGCATTCTGGGATATCTTCATGAGTGATCCGTCTAAACATAGCGCGGCGGTGAAGCTCAGAAAGGCCGCACTCGGGTATCTGCGGACATATTTCTACCTGATCCAGCATGAATCAGACCTACGAATCGCCCAAGATCCGGCTCTCTGCCTAATCCCTCAAGGGATAACCTGGTCTCGGTTCTGCCAGTTCACTTCCCGTTTCATCGACATCACGGATAACGAAGTTTCGGGCCGATATCATTACGGAGAGATCCGATTGACTCGGCTCAACTATTACGCGCCCATGCTCCTGGGCAAAAGCCATTACCAACGTGAGAATTATCAGTATCAAGCGTATTTTGCTCGAATCCAAGGTCCCTTGATATCTGCATTTGCCTTTTTCTCCATCGTCCTCAATTGTATGCAAGTCAGTCTTGCAGCCTCTTCTTCCGATGAGAGATATTCGAGTGCTTTGTTATTTGCGAGTTGCTACTGGCTCAGCACTTTGATCGGATCTGTGACAGGTCTCCTCATGCTGATGTTGGTAATACTTTTCCTTTCTAAAGTGATCGGGGAGTGGAGATTTGCGATAGCCCATCGGCGACGGTGGAAAAAGAATCCACACCCAAGACTAGAGGGCCGTGTGTAACGAGGAACTTGGACATATTTCAAGATATTTTTTGGCACTCGATACGAGGCACTTGATAAGCCTTATATGCTTATTTGGGACTCAATTAATCGTCGACGAACGACGCCTGAGTGATCCTCATATACTAATCCAGCATGCGAACAAGGTAGTTTACTGCATCTTGGTCGTTCGGCAAGCTTTGAATTTGCCAGACCAACCATGATATTTCCTCGGGGGCTGCAGAGCGGAGCTTGGCAGCCAGTCGACAAAGAGCGGCATGAGAATTCAACAACCCGGCAATATATGCTTTGCGTCGGCGATCACCGGTTTGATCGTATAGACACTGGCGGGTTTCGGTTGCATATCTTTCGCATGATGTCGTTCCAGAGCACTGCAACAGAGAGACGATATTAGCCCTGTCCTCCAACCGGGGAAGAGGCCGAAATTGACCTTGGTCCTCTTTTTTTGGCACTCTGTACAAGCAAGAGAAACGTTGCGCCGCATTTCTTTGGCTGGCTCTGCGATAAGGGGCTCTATCCCGTCTTCTCATTCGTTGGAAAGAGTGTACGAAACATCTTCTTCTTCGACATTGCAGATGGGTGAGTGGACCTAAATGCACACTTTGTTTGAAGACTTCGGCAAAACTGGGCTAGGGGGGTGAAAATGAATTTTGAGAGAATGAGTGAGGATCTCGGTCTCTCCATGCGCATTTCGGGCATTCACATCAATATCTTCCTTGGCCAGAAGTAGGTCGATCACGGACTCTGACCCGAATGCCGCGGCGACCAGAAGAGCAGTGCTTGATTTGAGCGTGGAGTTGATATTAACCCCGTATCCTAAAAGTGACTTTGCAGTGTCATGGTTATCGTACTTTACGGCGTAGTGTAGAGCCGTACAGTTCCTCTGTCGGGCACAAGATTGATAGACCAGGTCTTGCAGGATGCTGTAGGTTGTGCGCGTGATGCATGCAAACGAAAGGATATCTCGCGGGCCATCGCATTGTTCCGCGATGGCGAGCAAAATTTCGCAAGGTAAATTGAGAAGGCCCATTTGATCTACTGAGAAGTATGTAAAAGGAGACATCCATGATAGAGGATGGCCTTGGTTCGGTGCAGCAAAATGGGTTATTGTAGGAGGACAAACAACCTGATCTGGGTTGAGAAGCATTGAGTTTCGACTGAAACGCCGCTGAACTCCAACACTGGGAACCTTCGGTTCCTATTGGATGCTGGAGAGCCGCCTGTTCTGCTGAAGGGACAGTGTGCTCAGCGAGGCACCGAGTGAACCCCAAAGAGCGAAGACCAAGTCTGCCATCACACGTTTGCAGCTGCACGTTACTGAATCCACTGCATGTCTCGCGTTCTAGAGTTGACATAGATCCATATGCTATTTACAAGGTAGACCTGAGGGAGATCTATTGATTATCTGATATAATACTTAACTTTCCCACCCATGTCGGTACCGCAAGCAAAAGTGCGCACAAGCTACAAGAATAGGTCGATACGGCAAGCTCAGGAGAGATTGTTCTGGAACAGAATAAATTCCGAGAATTGCAATCCTATGACTCCCCATCCTGGAATCCTCTACCCTGGCGCACGTTCCTTGCCTGAAATTGACCATCCTAGGATGAATTCAATCAGGATTGACTATCCTGGGATTCGTCTGCTCCCGGAATCGATACTCCCAGGATACGGTCGACGTGGGACCCGTTAGATCCTATGCGGCAAGCCATACGACCCTTAGCGACTGAAGCCCGCTCTGGAGATATACACGGGGGTTTAGGTCCCTGGCGGGCCTAGGCATGTGGTCTGAACACCTACGTGGGTGAGACATGCTTTCAGGCGAGGCAATCCTCGGCATTGTAGGATTATAGTATATTTTCCGAAAGGCTGACCGGAAAACGCTGACCTAGAGCTTTTATTTTGGGCGGTCGAAAGCAACTTTGATGTTGATGCTGTTCAGATCAGAGCTCTCTTTCATGGCTCACACTAGGGATGACCGGGTTGACAATTGCAAACAATTGAGTCCTCAGCAGGACATCAACGACAGCAGTAAAGAAATCATCTCGGTGTTCAGAGCCAAATGGCGAAATACAAGAAACCACAAGTCCACGCGGACAACTTTACGGCCTGTGGAACTACATTGTTTCGTAACCGTACACATACTTGACAGAGAGTTAGGTCGTAGGTAGTACTTGAATATCCATATCCATGGATATTGAGATCATATAGCTCGAAGGTTCCACGTTGATATCAAGATCAAACCTGGAGGATTATGACTTCTATATTCCCCCCCCCCCAAATATTTCTCAAAACATCCCATCAACCCTATCCCCAGTCTCCAAAAGACCCCTCAAGGCTTCTCCTCCCCAATCATCGCAAACCACCTAGCCACATAATCAATCCCGGGTTTCCGATCCCTCGGATTCCGCGGCTCCGGTTCAAGGAAACCGCCATCCGGAAGAGGGATTTTTTTCTTTCGAGCGATATTACTCAATCCAATAGAATACATACGCCACCCATCCCAGATAACCCAACCGAGTCGTCGCCACGGTTTCATGTTCGTCAGCGAGTAGCATGCAGGCACGGCCCGCGTGAGATTTATACCACTGAGATAGAGGTGTGCGAAGTGCCAGTGATGCGAGGCACGGTGTCTCGGCGCGAGCATCCAGGCGGATGTTAACTCTGTGTCCTCGGGAGGATCTGGCGTAGCCCAGAGGCTGCTATCTTGTGACTGTGTGGGTGGCAGGTCAAATGATGGGAAGAAAGGTATTGATGTTTCTTCCGGAGCGGGCCAGATGGTTTGGGCGGGTTCTTCTGCTTCTGGGTCATTAGGCAGCCAGTTCAGGGTCAGACCCAGATCTGAGAGGACGGCGGATACTGTCCAGAGTCTTTCGGCTGTGCGATAGTCGATTTCGCTCCAGGTGTTGTATGCGTCTAGTTCCCGGATTGAGGATTCGTTCCAGTTCCATCGCTGGGTTGCTGCTTTGCGCAGGTGGGAGTAGTGATGCAGATGCCAGAGAGCCCAGTATGTGCGATACTCTTCTGTCCAGGTGAAGGGTTGGCTGGCATTTTGGATTTGGAGTGGAGGTCCACTTATTGAATCCGCGGGGATATTATCAAGATTTTTGATGAGACCTTCTCGCATAATAGAGAGACATTTGCACGCAAGCCGCTGGATCTGCGCGCCTATCTTAAGTATATGCCGTGATTCTGTGTACCCTAAAGTTGGCGGATCCTCGCATGTCTGGTGATAGTGCTCAAGATCCGGGCATTGCAGTGAAGAGATACTGAGGTGCCCGATGTTATAGCATAACTTTTGTATTTCTGGCATACAAGTAATCGGATTTAAGAGGATCAGCTCTTGTATGATGCGGGTAGGCTGGGCCTGGAAGACGGCATTGAGTCGTCGAGATGCCAACAGGCTGTTTTCAATGCCTGCAAAATCACCGATATTGGCGAGAATCTGTTGAATGACTTCAGGGGGCAGTTTCTCGAAAGAATCCATGTTATAACTAAAGAAACTTTGGGCTGGGAAAGGTAGATGAGAAGATGGGAGCTTGGAGATATTTAAGGGTTGATCTTTAGCGTAATACCCGAGTGGCGTAGGTGCCGCACCCACTTCGAATGTCCACAGTTTTAGTAATTATAGGTGTCCAAACGAGTATCGTCGCAAAAGGGAGTTATAACTAAAAAAGAGCTAAGAAGAAGATTGAAGATTCCTAAGGCCATCTTAAATGTGTTCGTGTCGTAGTGATTTCAAGGACAAATTCGTTTGGTTTGGATTAACCGGCCCCTACATTTTACCAAAATTACGGACCCTCGCTAACGAGGGTCCTCCACCCATTTGTCACATAACTCGCTTCCACTAATACCTCAACTCACCCAGCGCTTGGAGGGTTTGGATCCATTCAATGGGCTAGGTGTACTACAGTGCCGACCGCTATTGCATTCCATATGGGGAAACATAGAGATACTCTTTCAAATCCTAATCACATGATATGTTTACCCAAAATGGATTTCAGGTAAATTACCAATTTTGTATATACATCGTAATAATATCCGATATTGTACAGTGGCGTTTCATTAGTATTTGCACCCTAGTACATTCGACTCTGACCGCTCTTGATACACCGCCTACCTATTATATCCATCTACAACTCGCGTATTTACGTGTTTACCCCTATCATGGTCTTCCTACAATCCTCTTCATATAATCCTCTTTCTATTATGCCTCGCGGTCCTGAGCTTGAACCATATATACGCGAGCGCCTAATAATGAAGCTACTTGGGCAGAGCTAGTAGATATAGCGTAGGCTGCTTGGGAACAGCTTACGATCAGGCACTTTATCAATCTAGCTGAGACTATGCCTCATCCTGTAGAGGAAGTTATTCAATATGAAGGATGGTAACGTAACTCACACCAAACCCGCCACCACAGCAAACCCGCCACCTCAGAACTCCACAGTAATTGCGATAAATTATACCTCCATATCTCAACAACGATTGATTATTGAAACTTAAATCATTGTCTATAGCTATATTTCCATATTTTAAGTAAGATTTACTAGCCTCATAGAAAGTTACTGAATATTAAACCACTTTACCAAAAATTACAGGAATTCTATAGCATCGTGTCTATAACTAGTATCTGCGATAATATAATTAATCTAAGAGCCTAGATTATTATATAGTTTACCCAGTAGAGTATAAGATTGAACAAAGGCTTCTGAATAAAGTGTTATTTGTGCGATATGAAGTTGTTAATTTATCACAATTCCTATGGTGTTTTGGGGTGGCGGGTTTGCTGTGGTGGCGGGTTTGCTGTGAGTTACGTTATCTAGTTATTAGAAATAGAAGTTCTACCGGCAGAAAGTATGTGGGTCTGGCCTACCGAAGTACCAGTGTGATAACAGGGCCTTCTTGTTGTCGGGAAACGGTCACGTTACCCAACTTTTTCTGCCGTACGGACCCGCATTGGTCCGCACGGCTACCATATATCTACTCCTCCGTACACTTACTGAATGGAACACACTTTCCCACCTCCAGAATCTCACTACTAAGTAGGAGATTGTTCGTATAACTATCCCCGACTATAGTATATGACTCAGTTACGATATTACCGATATTAATTAGTAAATTCTTAATATAAGCACTAACTGCGAACTTACCGCTATTAATAGAAATAAGCTTTAGCCTCGGCTTTAGCCGTATCTGCGCCTATATAGATTAGGCGATATCTCTGCAAATAATATTAACTAATAATCTAGTATCGATATACGCCTTAACTACTTATCCGCTAACAGAAACTATTATAAATAAGAGGTATTGGAATATAGACCAATGCTACATAGAAAGATCTATCCTTATATTCAACATATAAGATCAGATATTGAACACGTAACCAGATTTTTCTTCTATCAAAATGATATTTTGACCACTTCTGATTCTGGTCCGCGGCCCTCCCCCCGAACGATAGGCGGGACTCTTTTCCTTCAGGCATGAATGGTCCGTTCCTTCGGGGGTGCCTTCGGGCATATCTTGCCTGCGGACTTCGACCATGGTCTTCGGACCTCGGTGAACAGACTTCGACCCTCGGTCCCCTCAAGGATAGGCGGACCACTTTCCCTTAAGGATAAAATGGTCCACCTTTGGGTATGCATAACCTGATACTGCGGGGAAGCTTTCGGGGTGGCTGAAACCATCGATCCTTGACATCATTCTTTTGGCTTTTCTTCGGTTCCCTTCTTTGCCACCTTTATTATTATGGGAGATCCAGTGGGAGATCCAATAAGAGATCAAGTCTTTTATCCTTCGATGAATAAAAGAATATTTCCTTAATAGGAAACCTTAGGGTATGATATGATGATTGAAGAAGAATTATATTTTTCTTGTAGAGAATTGCGGACATATTTATATCCAATCAACAATATTCTAGGCCTATATTAGACTTGCATTGTTTTAAGTCTAGGCCTGTCTTGCTTTGAAATCAATCATAGTCTAGGCATCATTTTTAGTTGTCAAGGCATCATTAATAGTCTAGACCTATTGTCAAGGCATCATTAATAGTCTAGACCTATGTCAAGGTATCATCAATAGTCTAGACCTATATCAAGGCATCATTAATAGTCTATCCATAGAACACCTTTTAATAGACCTATTATAATTATGTGGCTTTTCGTATTTACCTGACCAATTATAAAGATCATAGTCTTCTTGGATGACTAAAGGTAATGCTGACAGTCCTTGATAATGCTGACAAAGATAATGCTGACAGTCCTTAAATATGCTGACACTCCCCCTTAATCTATATATAGATATAAATATATAGATTATGTCTGCATATATATAGGTTCTTATAGCATATAGACCCTCTTTATATAGATTTCTTCTATATATATTTAGGGTTTTGGCTTATAAATAGTGCCTAAATTTGCTAGCTGTATTAAAGAATTGTGTATAGTTTTATTCACATTCTTTGTTAAGAAATCAGCTAGGTTATATTTAGATGGCACTTTAATAAGAGATATCTTTTTCTCCAGTATAGCCTGCCTAGTAAAATGATAGGTTATACCTATATGCTTTGATTTTTTGTGAAATTCAGGATTTTCAGCAAGCTTTATAGCTGATGCACTATCCACTAGGATTTTTGGTATGCTTCTTATATATCCTAGTTGCATATGCATATTTATATATTGAAAGGAATTAGATAGATATATTCCTTCTTTTGTGGCATCCCTTAAAGCCATATATTCAGCTTCACAGCTACTTAATGCGGTGGTTTTTTGTAGTTGGGATATCCAACTTATAGGATTATTAAATCCTAGCTCTGATGATAGGCTATATATATAGGCTGAGGTTGATCGATTATTATCTAGATCATTTCCCCAATCAGAGTCACAATAGCCCTTTAGCATAAGATTATAGCCTGAGCATTCATATATAAGGCCTATACTAGGATAGGCTAGTAAATATTGCCATATATGTTTTAATGCCTTAAAATGGTCATTATTTGGTTTGCTCATAAACCTAGCACAATTTATTACTGCATAAGTAATATCAGGCCTTGTTTTTAAGGCTAAATATAGTAAAGATCCTATTTCTTTTTGATATTGTCTTATATCTTTAGGATCTATATCTATAGTGCTTTTCCTTAGCTTAATACTAGGATCACTAGGTATAGACGTGGGCTTAAGCTTATATATATCAAATTTATTTAAAAGCTTTAATGTATAAGCTTCTTGATTTATATAAAGTCTTTTCATAGGATAATCAATAATTATATTGTTTCCTAGAAAGGTAGAGATTTGTCCCATATCTTCTAGCTTTATAGAGCCTTTTAGGCTATTTATAAGCCTTTTTATATAGTCTATATCCTTTGATAGAACTATAAGATCATCCACGTGACATATAATAATACATTTTGTAGTATCATTCATATATATGCCTTCATCATAGGGGAATATATAAAAGCCTTCCCCTTTTAATATAGATGATAGGTATTGATACCATAGTCTAGGAGACTGTTTAAGGCCATATAGTGCCTTATTTAAATGGCAACATTTATCTTTATATTTTATAGGGTTATATATCCCTATAGGCAATATAGTATATATATCAGTATCTATATCGGCATGAACGAATGCATTTTTCACATCGTATTGTCTTATATGCCAACCCTTATTTAGTGCTATAATAAGCAATATATGCCATATTTCAGTGCGGCATGTAGTGGAAAACGTTTCTAGGAAGTCTATTCCTAGACGTTGATTAAAGCCTTGTATAACCCATCTCGCTTTATAGCGGATGGTTTTATTTATATCAGTTATATAGGTATTACTATTATTTATAGTATCCTTATTTATAGGCTTTATTTTAAATACCCACCGACCATTTATAGGCTTTATATTAGGGGGGTATATCCACTATTTCATAGGTATTCTGGCTTTCTAGCTCTTGTACCTCATTTATGCATGCCTTATACCATTCGTCCGAATTAGGACTTTGTATAGCTTCCCTATAGTTTTTAGGCTCATTTGCTATATTTGCAGTAAGTATAAAATTAGGGTAATCAGCCCTATTATCAGAAGGATGATTAGTCCTTTCAATAGCACTTATAGTGTCTGCAATAGTGGTATCTTTTATGGTATATATATAAGCGGGTATTTGTACTTCCACTTTGTGATCTGGCTTTGAAGCTATATATTTATTATAGCCCCTTGTAAGAGGTTTAGGAAGAGGTTTAGGCTTATTATCCTTGTTTTCCTCTATATTTGATTCAATTTGGTCTAAATCCATTTGGATTTGATCCGAATTCATACTAGCTTGGTTTTTAGGGGTCTTAGGCTTATCAGCCCAATATTCGCCCTCTAATATAGTCACATCTCGTGACCAAAAAGCCCTATTCAATTTAGGGTTATAAAGCTTATAGTGATTATAATCACTATAGCCTACTAGTATAGCCTCTTGCTTTCGAGGTGATAGCTTATTACTTATCATATTATCATG